CCCCCGCCCCGCCCCTCCGCCCCCTCCCCCCTCGCAGCGACAGAGCTGCGACGAGGGGCACATGCAGCGTTTTCTGGCGAAGCTCGAGGCCGTCCTGGAGTCTGAGGAGTTGTCACCCGGGCTCATTGACACCGTAAAACGCGCTGCTGGCTCTGCCCTCCAGGACCTCCCCGCGCCCGATGACGCGACCAGCGGCGACGGCGGCGGTAGCGGCACAAATACTGGCGCCGCGGCCAGCAGGTCGCAGTCGGTTGTCCCTGCGGCGGCGGACGTGCTGGGCTTCGAGGCGCTGGACCTGCAGCTTCGCTTTGCGCATGACTGCCAGTGAGCAGGGCCGCCGGCTGTGCAGATGTTGGGTGCCATTGGCAGGGAGCGTGGCTGGTTGGCAGACTGCACCGCCGCCCTGTCCTGCGGCGTGTGCATCAACAAGCTGCAGCCGCCAGCGCCCCGCCAAGTCGCCAGCTGGCGGCGCCTGCCCTGCCAATCCCGCTGCTCGCTGCCGCCTTGAGGCGCTGCTCCGCCTCCGTTCTGCACTGCACCTGCGCAGGGCCAAGGGCTGCGGTGATGCCGCTTGCCCGCTCTGTGAGCGCAGCCCCGACCGCCCGTGCAGCCGGCAGCTGGGCCGCAGCTACCTGGTCGGCGACCGCCTGGCTGCACGCTGCGGCGGCTTGCTGCGGGTGGAGCTCGTGTGCCGCCCCACGGGGGAGCTGTACACCGGGGCGCTGCCCGATGGCCTGTGCCTCGAGCTCCGAGTCGTGGAGGGGGCGCTCTACGAGGCGCGCTTTGCTGACCAGGGCGCCGGGTGAGAGTCAGAATGGCCTCGCGCGTTTCAACACGGGTGTTCTGGCCAAGCGCCTGACGTGTTTTCACGGGTCTTGTTTACCGCGGCGTCGGGGAGCCGCTCCGGCCGTACACACCTTGATTGGGTCTGCATGCTTCCGAGAGCAGGAGCAGTTCTTACGCGGCATCAGCCGGGACGGCCGTGTCCTCAAAGTCTTCCTGTGTGTGAGCTAGCCATGACCGTGTGTACGTGTGCAGCATGGTGTGCGAACTCAGTTGCCCCGCCTGTTGTCTTCCAGGCCCCTCAATTATCCCTTCCCCCCACTCATCCATCCGTTAAAAATGGCCCTGTTGACAATGACCGGCCATCCTGTCTCCTCACGATACCCCTGACCGCACGCACGTTCAGGCTGGCGCGCGCCAGCGAGGCGGACATAGAAGCCATCAGCCTCCCCCCCGCGGCTAATGGAGGCGCCCTGCTCGCCCTCATGGGCAGCCGGCAGCCGGCCAACTTCAGCTGCGGCGGCCGGGGCGGCGTGACGACGCTGGACATGCAGATCATGGACGGCTTCGCCACGCTGCCAGAGCTGCGGGTGGGCGCTGGTCCGCCCGCCCACGTTTGATGCCGAGCGCGTGCATGCTTTGTCGCTGGCAAGGCCGCGCTCTGCAGCTGCATCCCATCTGTGCATCAGCACACGACACACACAGCAACAGCGGCACCGCCATGCCCTCGCACAACAGAGGCTTGCGGCCGTCCACCTGCCCCTGCCCGCTCAACATTTGTTGCTCTCCCGTCCGTGACTTACCGCAACTGCTGTCCCTCCTCTTTGAAAGATCATCGCCAGTGGCGAACAGCTTCTGAAGGGAAACGGCAAGAAGCCTCAGTTCAGGATCCTCGTCCGCGCCCGCCTCCGCGGCTGCAACGATGTCTCAAGCACCGCCGCCGATGTATCAGTTGCCGCCAGTGCGTCCCTGATCAACCTGCGTCCGGCAATCAGCGAGGGCTTTGCTGTGGCCACGGCGCGCATGAAGGGCGATGTGAAGGTGGAGCTGCCGCTGACGACCGACGAGGCCAGGGTGATCATCCACCTCGGCAAGGCAGCGTGCGCCAAGCTCAAGGACCTGCGGGCAGCGGCAGCAGAGGTGCGGGACCGCGGGACAGGGATTGGGCTGAGCCCGGAAAAGTCCTCCTTGCGCTTCTCACGCTTTTGCCTTGCCCCTTGGCTGTTTCTACTGCCTCCTGCCCCCCTGCCTCTCTCATCATACTCTCCTCTCCCTGCAACGCTTCATTCCTCTCATATTCTGTCTTGTTCAGCAACCCCAAACTAGTCGATGATTTAGAAGATCAAACTGCATTGTGTGTTTATCTGCGCAATACGCTGCTCAATACATCGCACTGTTCAGCTGCGAGAGGCAGTAATTGAACTGTAAGTGCCCTTGCGTGTGCCCGACGTACTCACCTTGCTCACAGAAACGCACGGAGCTGCAACTTCCTGCCGGCTTTGCGACTGCGATTACGCACGTTTGGCAGCTCAAGAGGTTGCTCGCGCTTGCGCCTGCCAACAGCGTCCTGCGCGGCCAGGTGAAAGCGCCCAGCGCACTTGGGAGAGGCCTGTGTCTCCAGCGCGTCCCGTCCACGCACCATTCCAAGCCCATGGCCTGCGCCTCATCCCCACCGCAATTAACGCGCCTGCTGTCACTAACCATGCAACTAACAGCATGCAAGCATCCCTGGGTCCGGAAAACAGCACGTCACCCCCACATTTACCCAACGCAATCAACTTACGCACCCCCCCGCTCAACGCACCCCCCCGCTCCCCCTGGACCCACAAAATCGCAGCTCCAGAAGCTGCTGGTTCTGGGCCAGGACGCCTGGGAGGAGGTGGTGGAGCACGTGGGCCAAGCCGTGGAGCCGGACAGCCGCATGAGGGCTTGGTTTGAGGGCACAGGGTGAGGACAACGGCGCCAACTCCGGCATACACACACATGCGCCGATCGCTTGAAGTCTTCAACCAGGCCTGAATCCGCTGGTGCAATGGGAAAGTACTCTCTGTGTCCTCTTGCTGGCGCTTGCTGATCTCAGGTCAATGGAGCGCGGGCTGCTGTTCCACTGCGCCCAGGCCAAGGTCGACCTGGACCGCCCGGCAGGCGAGAGAGGCGAATCACATTGCTTGGAAGGATCGCGTGTTGGTGTGGCTGACATGGCTCAACCCCCACGAAATCCGGCCCCTAGATTGCAATTTGTTTGTGGCGTTGCCACATTCTATTTTGATGGTTCTTCCCCACCATTTCATGGGGCGCCCCATTGCTGGCTGCAAAGGTTTGGCCATGAGGTTAAGCGCAGGCGTGCACATACCCCAGCTCATCCATCGCTAATCCACGCGCTCAACGCAGGCCTCCTCCTGCGCCGCGGCGCGCTGGTGGACATCATCCCGGCGCAGCAGCAGACACCAGACCAGCGCCAGGAGGAGCAGCGCCTGCGCGCGGCCGCGCTGGAGGGCTGGCGCGCGCCGGCGCACCCTGGGTGGTTTTTGTCGCATCTCGACTCTAAGGAGTTCTGCAAGGTGAGTGGAGGGCTTTGTAGGGCGCACTTTTTTTGCAAGGCTGTCGGCGTGCAGCCAGCTCCGGCACGCAGCCACCTCCAGTTGACCCGCCACTAGACCAACTTTCCGGCCCTTAGTTGCCTGAACCTGCACCCAACCTTGGCCACAACAGCTGCGCCTAATGAACTTGCAATTTTGTAGGACGGGGGGCTGTCACGTGACGTATCGTTGGCAGAACTTGGTGGGACCCTGCCCAACGTGCCACAATTGCTGGAGATTGTGAGGGGTGAGTATGCTAGTGTGACATCGCGTTCCGTGGCTCTAGGTATATTTTCAAGCAGTGGGACCCCGGTGCATACCTCATCCCATCACCAATGGAGCAGAGATAATGGAGGGATTGCGCTTCACCAGTTCAGCATAAACATGTTCTGGGCGTGCCGGCCTTCAAAGGGAGGTAATTTTATCGTCAGCAATACACAGCCGTTGTTTCACAACCAGGAACACCAAAGTCTCACAAACCCCTTCACAATCACGTTTTCCTTGGCCTGCACAGCCGGCGCCATCTCGCCCGGGCTGCTACACCGCCTGGATGCAGCTGTGCAGGCCAACACCTGCCCGCCAGACGTGAAGCAGATGTTGCTGCAGATTGTGCAATCGAAGGCACAGCAGCCTCAAAGCCTCTCGGCGCAGGCTCTGACACAGCCGCAGTTGGTACGGCTGCCTTCCTCCTCTTCATCGTCGCCTCACACTGAGTCACGGTCGCCCCGGCTCTACCATGGCCACCGACAATCGCCGCTGCTGCGCCCAAGGTCGCAGTCGCCACCGCAGCAGCAGCAGCTGCAGCTGCAGCAGCAGCAGCAGCAGCAGCAGCAGCAGCAGCAGCTGCAGCTGCAGCAGCAGCAGCACGAGCACCACCACCCTCGGCAGCAGCAGCGGCAGCAGCACCACCAGCAGCAGCACCACCAGCAGCAGTGCCTGCCGCTGCTGCCATCGCGCCAGGAGCAGCAGCAGCGTCTCATGTGGCAGCAGCAACAGCAGGAGCAGCCAATGCAGCTGCAATCGCAGCCGCCGCAGCGGCAGTTGTCAGTTGAAGAAGCAGAGACTTTGATGCTCGATCAGCAGATCTGGGAGCTGGGCATGCAGCAGCCACTAGAAGCCCCGCAGCACTGGCGTCAGCCAGTGCAGGCGCTGCAGCAGGCACAGCAGCAGGCGGAGTCGTTAGCGGCTGCGCAGCTGTCGCCGTGGGACGGACTGGCAGCACCACAGATGCTGTCGTCGTGCTTGCCAGAGTCTTACTCGCCAGCAGTGCAGCAGCAGCAGCAGCAGCTGCCTCGTGGTGCGTTGCCCATGCAAGCATGGTCCCTGGCGCCGCCCCAGCCCCACTTTCCAGCGCCAACAGCAGCAACCTCCAGCTCCATATGCGGCTCGCAGCAGGCATTTACGAGCTTGGACATCCCTGCAAATGGCGCAGCGTCGTCTGTGCCGTGGACGGCTGCGCTCATGCCGTCAATATTGTCTGTCTCCCTGGCCCCACCAGCACAGCGGGGTGTGGCCCACAGACAGGGCATTGGAGCCCTGTTCCCAGACTGGGCCGTGGATGATGATTTAGATGCTTTCCTGCGGCAGTCCGGGCTGTGACCGCGGCAGTCCTTTGTACACGCGAGCCAAGACTGCAAGTCTGTTGATTTGGGGGAAGGTGTCAGGCAGCGATGGCCATTGTTGTCAATGGACAGGCCTGTGGTAGCCGGTAAGACCTGGCATGCAGGAAGATCTGGCATCGTCAAGGGAGCATGGTGCTGTGCCTTCTAGGAACGACACCAGAATTGAGTTCATATGGTTGGGGGTGTGGCTCACCACACACACCCCTCTCCTCAACCCGACGCGGCGCCGCTTGCAGCATGGCTTTTAGCTGCACGAGGCGTCAGCGTAGTCTCTCTCTGTCTCTCTCTCTCTCTCTCTCTCTCTCTCTCTCTCTCTCTCTCTCTCTCTCTCTCTCTCTCTCCATGCCTCCAATTGTGGCACAACAAATTTTTGATTGCCACATTGATTATGGCGGCTCAACGGCTGCAAGTGTGGTTGGCTTTTGCTTCTGGTGAACCATTTGTGAATCTCAACCGGGGCCGTCAAAGTGCCATTGGACATCGTCGTACATGCATCATGATGTGTGTCATGTTGTCATTACCATGCACGTCTAGGTCCACGAACACCCACGTGGGTAAAGTGCACGGCAGCTGCCAAAAATGCCAACCCACGCCTGAGAGCGAGGCTGGGTGTGAGCACAAATTCAGTCAACGGTGTCGCATTGCATGGTGCTGCTGCGTGCATTGCACTCGCCTGCACGCGGCTGCGGGCTTTACCAGCATCAGTGCTGCAGCAGCTTGGCACACTTGGTCGCCCTTACGCACACTTGGTCGCCCTTGGCCATACGCGCGACCTGCTGTCGCCCTGGGTGCCTCGCCAGCAGCCGAGCAAGCAAGCTGCGCCATCAAACCCCCAACTACAAGTGAACCCATTCAATTCTCCGTTCCACCACAAATTTATTCAAAATTATCTGCTCGCTTCAACTAGAGGATTCATGTGAGACATTGTGACAACCCTGGAAAAGCACCCTGTGTTCCACCCGACTGGCCATCGCAGCACAACCACCGCTCGCACACACATCCGCAGTGCTTGCCATGTGGCCCTTCCCAAGCAGGCCCGTACTGTGGCGCCAAATGCCTCAACCTGGTTTGCAATGTAGCTCTACTGTGCTTGCTCTAATAACTGCAGGGGATCCGCACTGTGCCAAATCACATTGTACGTGCTTCGGACACGCAGCTTGCCCTGCATGCTGGCGGCTGCTCAAGCACCGGCAGCGTGCAGCTTATCGCTCGCGTTGCTGCTCCACAACACACCTGGAAGCCTATCTTGGGGTGGAGTATCCCACTTGAAAGGGGGTCTAACGATGCACCCTGAACATGTATTATTAATATGAGCACTGAGGGGTCGTGGATGTTGGCGCCGATCCAGTGTGATTGCGCCCGCCCAACAAGCTCTTGCCTTCTAACATATTCTGATCGGGTGAGGCGTGCTGTTCACACCTTGTGTGCATGGCCGTACGAATGAAATTTCATGTGTGTCATCAGAAAAGTACATACTCACAATGATAACTTCAAGTTGAAAACCGGAAGCTAAGTTCTAATGCGTATTGCTGCAGGGTAGAGAAGCGGTGATTTATGGATCTCTTTCATGGCCATCTGGCAGACAGCAGGGCCTTGACGTGTCCAGATGCGACCATAACCCACGTCTAGGAGGCATACAGAACAGCATGTCCTTGTCGATCAGTACGCAGGGCCAGGGTGGCAGCCACAGGCACCCCTGGCGGGGCTGCTGCACTGGGACACGGCCAGTGTTGGTACTAGGTTGCGCATTCAACAATCGAGAACGAGCTATCAAAGACCCATTGCTGGACAAGTAGTCCAGCCAATAGCTAGCCACTGACCGATACTCGTGCAATCAGCCGCTGCAAGGAAGCCGATCGTGCAAGGCCCTTGCAGGCCGTTTCCAACCCCAATGCAGGCAACCAAACTTTTGACACCCCAAGTCATGCCCGATCAGGCAACTCAGAGGTTTTGAGCTCGCTCGAGGGCAACATCCAGAAAAGATGGTTTCTGCAACACGTTATCACACACATGCACACACGCACACACAGCGGCAACCTGCATCCGCGACCTCACAGCTTGCTCAGGTGCCGCTGCGGCTGCTGCTGGGACTGCTGCGCCACCATCGCGCGGAGCGCCACCTTGGATATCTGTCGGTGGGGGGAGTGCAACCAGGCGTGATGTCAACCATTGAAACATGGCGATGCAAACGGCGAGCCTTGAACACGACCCCTTTTCAGAATTGCCAAAGCGTTGTGTGCGCCACAAAGTTCCCCCCTCAGCGTTACCGCCGACGCCCTTAGCCAGCTTTGTGGCTCGCCACTATCGCAATTGAACCTAAGCACAGCAGCCCATGACTAATCCAGGAATGCTGCCGCTGACCCAATGAGCCAAGGTCGGCAGCACGCAGCATACAGTCACTTGACACCCCAAGCTCGCCTTGCCAGTGGCGCCGTAAGGAATGGCCTCCACGAACAGCACATCATCAGGCACGGCAAACTTGGCAACGTCGGGGTGCGACGCCATGAAGGCCAGGACATCGCGCCGCAGCGCGTCGTCGGGGGCGGCGCCGGGCTTGGGCACCGCGACGAGCAGCGGGCGCTCGTCCCACTTTGGGTGGGGGACGCCGATGACGGCCGCCTCTTGGACCTGGCGGGTTTGTTGACGAACGGTTGGGGGTGTGGGCGTTGCCGACATTGGGTTGCAGCGATCAGGATTTAGAGGCTTGTCAACGGCCATCTCAGTCTGATCTTTGTCAAAAAGCAGGCAAGCTATTGCGTATATTTGCTGCACTGCGGGCGTATCAAAGCCGGGGTTGTTATTTTGAGAGATCTTTCATTTGCATCCAGTGAGCCCCAGCCGAGGCCCCTGCATTGAGCGGTGGCGCGATGCTGAGGCGAGGGCCCCAGGACCCCCCCACCTTGGGGTGCCCCAGCGCAGCGTTCTCCAGCGCAATGCTGCTGATCCACTCGCCCCCAGACTTTATCACATCCTTGCTGCAGGGGGGCGAGGAGCAGGAGGGCCAGCACACGCAGACTTTGTCAGCAGTGTTGGCAGGCTGGGAACGCACTACAAAACATCTGCAAATCTGGGGTTCAGAACATGTGGTTTTGGCTTTCGCGCCTAAGGGTCATCCTGATTCCAAAATGCGCCCAAAAATTAAACCCGCACCTGCGGTCTGTGATGCGCATGAAGCCCAGGGTGTCGATGGAGGCGACGTCCCCAGTGTCGAACCAACGGCCGCCGGTGGTGGCGGGCCGGTCCTGGCGGTGGTAGCGCTCCACGACAATGGGGCCCCGCACCTGGCGCGATTTTGGCACCAGTCCAAGCAGTGGAGGCGTTGTTAGGGGCCAGAAACAAAAGGGGTACAGGACATAAAGTCATTCCATTTGCTGACTGCTGTTTGGGCTTGCAGGGGTGGTGGCCAAGGGGCCAGCCGGCTAGCCCTTTCCCAGGGAGTATGAGATGCAGGGCCAAAAGGGTGCAGAAACAAACAGGGGACCGCCCGTCGCTGTCGCACCTGCAGGTGGCCGACCGAGGTGCCGTCGTGCGCCAGCTCGCGCCCCGAGTCGTCCACGATACGCATGTCGCAGAACGCATGGGGCCGGCCCTGCGGTCGCGAGGGTTCGGCATGAGTTGGATAAGATGGGACCGTTCCAAGCCTTGGGGTTGCGGCAGAATATGTGCTACACGCACCCACTGGAGCAGAAAAGAAAGCTGCATGAAGAGCAAGTTGAGGTGGCTGGCACTGCCGAATCCCCCAGCTGTTTTTGTAACCGGTCCCCGTTCCACGCATCCCCCCCCAAAAAAAACTCCCGTGCTCCCGAGGAACCGCAAGTCAGCCTGCATCCATGATCACGCCACCCGCCACGCGGCCTGCCGCCCACCTGCGCCAATTTCAGGTCCCGCAGCTCGGCCTCGCTGAGGCCGCCCTCCACCTGGCTGTACTTGGGGAGGCCCAGGCTGCCCAGGGGCGACAGCTCGGTCATGCCCCACATGTGCCGCACCTCCACGCCGCGGCTGGAAAGGGGTGTTTATGGGGCCGGGGTCAAATATTCGCAATGTGTCACGGCTGGGTGCTCAGCAGCTGACGTAGACGTGTGTGCGGCTGACTGTACATGGGACACTGCTACTCACAGACGTAATGGCTATATCGCGGTATAGTGTCGGCGGTCATTTTGAAGCACCCACACCGCGCATTCACAGCTGTCTCCCGCAGCACCCCAGCGCCCACATGCGCGCGGAAACGCCGAGCGCCGAGCGCCGCTCACTCCTCAAACGCCGCGATGTGCGACCGCGGCGCGGCGGCGCCACCGATGACAATGGCCTTGAGCCGGCTGAAGCGCAGGCCGTGGCGCTCCACATGGGCCAGCAGGTTGGCCCAGACTGTGGGCACGCCTGCCGATATGGTGACCCCGTGGGCCTCGATCATGTGGTAAACATTTTCGCCATCAAGGTGGGGGCCGGGCAGGACCAGGCGGCAGCCCACCATCGGGGCTGTGGGTGGTGAAAAACGGGGGTTTGGGAAGGGCGGGGGTCTTCAGGAG